ACGATGTAATAACTAACTGTTTAATTGATAAATTAGAATTTTTTTTTCAATTTTTGAGAGTAATATCTTCAACTAGATACGAATTGTAGTAATTTGACGTATTGTTGAAAAAAGTAGGTCAAGTTAGAGCAGAGAAAATAAATGATAGTCACAAAAAAATATCTTCTCGGCTTTGCATCGAAGCGAAAACTTAAAATATAGTAAAATAATTTTAATACGAATAAGAAATTTCTTCTTGCAAGGGGCGACTAAAGTGATGGGATCCTTGATCTTTATTGAAGTTATTGAATCTAAATGTGATAAAAATCAAACGAGTTAAAATTTATACTAACTTAAAAAGAATTAAGAAAAAATGCAAAAAATTCATTGCCATATGCGGGTTGGAACCTCGTACCCCAAGCGTGTAAAACATAAATTTTACCAACTCGGCAACCGTACGTTGCTTCCGGCGGTTGAAAAATTGGCTATTTAAGCTAGTTCAAATTTCAAAGTTATTTTTCTCGACTTAAAAGAAACAAACATATTTAAATAAGTTTAACTATCTATACTATATCAATTTTAATTTATATAATATTTATGAAAATCTGTACTCCCCTTGTCAGGTATTTTAAAATAAAATAAAATACAAAACCCAGAATTTTAACACAAAAATAGCATATTTTTGCATACGGTAGTCATTTTTACCATGAAGACAAATCCAGAGGTCAAATTTTTTTTTTTCACATTAAAGTATATTACATAAGCTTTAATTTAAGATATATTTAAAAGTGTCAGTATTTCCGGAATACTTTCAAAAATTAAATTGAAAATATCGTAGTAACAATACGCATGTTTAAAGTTTTGACCCCCCTTGTTAAAGGGGTATGATCCGATTTACAAAAAAAGCGTGCCAGATGAAAGGGGTATATCAATATTTATTATAAAAAAATAATAATATAGATCCATACATTTTTCCAAAAGTTATATAAAATATAAATTAAATAATATAACATATAAAATCGAGATTTTTTTCACGGAAATCGTACGTTTTTCTTTAACTTTGATGTCCGTTTTCACCACGAAGACAAGTCCAGAGGTCAAATTTTTTTTTTTCAAATTAAAGTATATTACATAAGCTTTAATTTAAGATATATATAAAAGTGTCAGTCTTTCCGGAACATTTTCAAAAGTTAAGTTGAAAAAGTTCTACTTTCTATACGCATTTTAAAAGGTTTGCACCCCCCCTGTATAAAGGGAAATGGTCCGATTTTAAAAAAAAGTATGTCGAATGAAAGAAGTATATATAAAGTATTTATCATTAAAGAATAAAGTTGATTCATGCATTTTTTAAAAAGTTATAGCAACATAATGTTAAAAAATGTAAAATATAATATCAAGAATTTTTTCACAAAAATAGCATATTTTTGCATACGGTAGTCATTTTCACCATGAAGACAAGTCCAGAGGTCAAATTTTTTTTTTTCAAATTAAAGTATATTACATTAGCTTTAATTTAAGGTATATATAAAATTGTCAGTCTTTCCGGAACATTTTCAAAAGTTAAGTTGAAAAAGTTAATTTTTTGTAAAAAAGTTACCATTTTGAAACCCCATCCTTTGGGCTGTTAAAGGGTCAAATGTTCACAAAAATATATAAAATGATAGGTAATTATCTAAGGTATCTATAAAAAAAAAAATTATATTGATTCGGTCATTTTTAAAAAAGTTATGGCAATTTTAAGTAAAAAAAATTGAAAAAATATCGAAAATTAGCGATTTTTAAATTTGTAATTTTTTGGGGGATTTCCCCCGTTTACGGGGAACGAGGGAATTTTTTTCAATTTTTGAGGGTAATGTCTTCGACTAGATACGATTTGTGATCTTTTGACATATTGTTCATCAAAATCGGTCCAGCGAGAGCTGAGATTGAGCGTTCACAGACACAAAAAAAAAAATAAAAAAAAAAAAAAAAAAATAAAAAAACACATCATAGTAAAATTAATACCTTCTCAGCTTCGCATCGAAGCTAAAATATAATAATAAAATAATTCTATGATCATAAGATTATAGCAAATTAAAAGACTTTATTGATGAATATATTAAAATAATAAATATCAATAAATTTATAAGTATTCATCAATCGATAACTGTCAAACAAATGGTATTTGTCGATAAAAACGGTATCCATCAATAAATTATAATAATAAAATGCTGAAATTATCAATATACATAATAAAACCAGTATAAAATTCAATACCGAATATGTGAATTTATAACTCCACTAATCCAATAACAATAACAACATAACTCCATTTTTAAAAAAAATTTTGAACAAGAAATTGTATGACAAATTTTTTATAAAATATAATGGTAAAATACTTTTTCTTGGTTAAATATCTCCAAAAATAATAATAATATACAATGTGATTTTTTAAAAGTTAGTATCCGATTCTTTTACAATAATAATTATGTTTAGTACATTATTTATGGTATTATTATTTTCACACATTTTTCAAATTTACCAACTATTAAATATTTTTTGAATTCATCTTATAAACTCTTCTTCCATGCTACATAAAATATGTGAATTACTTCCGAAGTACTATTTCAAAAGTTTTTACCGAAAAATCTTTGTTTTTTTAATTTAATCAATTTTTATTTTATAAGCTAAATATGTATGTTGCCATTTAAGAAATAAAGTTGATGCCTATATAAAGTATAAGGGATGAATCAAAAAAATACTTAACAATTGATAAATCTAGATATATATATATATAAAATTTTATAATACCAAAAAGAATTTTTTGAAACAACTATTATTTTAAAAGAAATTTTATAACTAATATTAAAATAATCACACTGTATAGTTCATTTTTGTACTGATTTACACAAAAAAATAATTTTTATTCAAAATTAACAAAAAATTATTATTTTTTAAATATTGGACTTATTTAGTTGTTACATTAGCTTTCCTTTAATTGATAAAATTTTTGTTGTACTACAATAATCGAAAGTACAGTGAACAGGAGGTATACATTTAATTACAGTAAAAATAATATTTTTAATTGGGGGAAAACCATCACAAATCTCTATTTATGAGAAATAGCAGATGCGTGTCCAGAGGATTTAAGCTTCTCTTAGCTGTGCTTACATATTCAGCAAAATGTCACTACAATTTTTTTTCAATATTTACCCTTCCATAACAAAAATCCTGAATACGTCTTTGGGTAGTAGTAAAAATAATGAATTAATATTTATGCTATAAATAACTTTTCGGAAAATATGTTTATTTTAGAAACATAAAGTAACAATTTTATATGAAATGTTTGAATCTAAGTGCAGAATTTTATGATTTAATAATCTTTTTTAGTGTTTTTTCTTATTATTCTTCATTTTTCAATGAATAATTTTTGATTTTAAAATAATTTTGAAAATTAGCTGCAAACATTAAATATAAAAATTTTATTTTCCTTTAATTTTATATATTTTTTTTAATTTTGAACTGTTAATCCCAAACTTTAATTAAATATTATTTCAATGAATGAGAGCTTCTATTCTATTCGGAAGTTCAATTACATAAAAATCTAATTAGGTACGCACTAATGTTCAGTTTTTAAAAAAATACAGTTTACCTTAGCTGTTTCAGTTTTTAACCATCTTTTGAAGTAAATGAATATTAAAATTTGACATCAAGTAATTTAAAGAGTTAATTTACTTAAGTTCACTATGTAAGATTCGCATTTCAATATTTTCTGAGGAACACAAATAATTACCCTTGTTTATATCTTTATTTTTGTGAATTTTTTTATTAATGAATGATATTTGTTTTTCTGAAGTAGAGTTGTAATTAATAATTTAAAGTTATACATGCTGTTGTATTGGAGCTTTATCATATATACCAAAAGTTAACATATTTAAAAGTAAGAAAAAATTTTAATGGAGCAAAAGATTATCTAATTATAATCATGAACATTTTTTTATGATATTTTATTTGATAAGAACAAAACGTATACGTTATTTTTGGAAAACTTTCAATTTACACTTTGAGGATTTCAAGAATTCAATTCATATATATTTTTCAGTATTTTCTACATGATGAAAGTAACATTTAAAATCCTTATTAGATCAATTTCTCAACAAAATAAAGATTATTACTTTACTTTTATCACGTAAAACAGTATAAATATATTTGTTTACAAATATAAAAACGTTTGGTTATTATCCAAGGATTTTATTTTGTCAGGTGTCTTTAAGTTTAAAAGAAAATCAACAAGTACATCACAAGTTTCTTGATTTTCACAATATTGGGTCTTGTTTTACACATCAAAGCGTACAATAATAGTATAGAGTTTAAATATTCATTTCTCATAGTCTTAAATCTATTTATTATTGATAACTTCGGAAAATATACAAAAGAAAGTACTTACAAAACATTACATCGTGTGTATGGTTAAAACAGTCGCATGTCTAGTAAAGAAAATAAAATCAAAATGTAAAAACAATAAGAAATACTCTGCTACGGTGTTTTTTGCTTATGTTTACTTTTATTACAGATGCTATTTCAAAAGGAAAACAGTGCCTTTGGGGCGACGAAAATGTCCGTCGTATGCGATCATAGAGTCATTATTTTTCGCTATTATCTTATATATGCTAGCAATGTTTCGACAAAAAAAACAGTGCATAATCATAAAAAATGATTCTTAACGATAGTGGACGACGTTATGCACGAAATGTAAGAACAAAAAAGTGGTTTTGTGGAAGGAGAAATAAGTGTAACAATTGCCATTTCTGTGTCTTTCATTTTTACCTTTTTTCCTTGTGGCTCCTGTATCCCACGGGACACTTTTATAACTGTATAGTATAACAGCGTATACCCTATCAGCCTGTGTATACACACAGATGTCTAGGAGTACAAACGAACTGCGAACTCAGAGCCAGAAATTATATATTCCACAGAGTACCATTAGTACCATTACATCGCGTTCTATAAAAAAATCGCTCCAGTGCATTGAAAACTCAAAATTCAGATCATGGTAGCTTCTTGTCAGTATTTTTTTACAATGTCCCATTAGCTGATTATAGGCCAACACGATGCTACGTTTTATTTACATGTAAAAAATAATTACATTTTACAATATGACGTACAAATACGTAATACGACACAATATAAAACATTAAAATATACTGTAACAATGGAAATGAGTTTTTTTTATCTTATGTATCTTTGTTATAGTATAAGTTCATACAAGAAAAATCTTTTGTAACATTATCAAAACTGATAAAATTCCGAATACTGGATTAGTGTTATTTGCTCCGCTTTTATGCTTTTTACCATAAGACGATGACCCATTGTTTTCTCCTGTAAAATAAAATAGTGTTGTTTACAAAAACAATTGCCAGTAATTATTTTACGATTAAACATCTTATGATTATAAATAATTAGTATATTTAATATAACAAACAAACATCCATATAATATTGAAATCATAACATAAATTAAGTAAGAGTCCCAGATTTTTTCCTCGTTTCTAATATTAATCATGAAAATTTATTGTTTTTTTAATATGATTTGAGTATAAAATTACATTAAATACATTTTTTTGGTAAATATAAGCTGATTTTTAAAGCCAACACATATATGTTTCTAACGTTATTTCAAATATACAGCAATAAAAATTAATTTTAAAAAGGTGTACTTAATGTATTTTTCATATTCGCCTTTGACCTTTTATTTTTACTATAACATCACTTATCTCCTAATTACAATCTTAAAATAAATCAGTTGTTTCCCTCTTAAATTCTAGTCTTACCAGTATCCTTCAAAAAGGAAATACCGTAAATGGAGAATCTTTCCACCTTAAATATAACATAGTACCAGTGCAAACTTACCACACATAATGCATAAGTATTTTACACTCGAATAATTTTCACTCATTTTACTACAAATACTATATTTATTTTGGTGCAATATGATGTATAGTGCCCTATTTTATGGTAGTTAACCATATAGTTTCTCTAACTTCCATTTCTTGAATCCTTCAAACACAAGTATTTCTACTAATGACAGTTTTAGCCACCTCCTTCAGACTATCATTTAAGTTTGGCAGGATGAGTGGTTAACAATAATATTAAATATCACTAGTTAGTATTGTTCAATCGCTTCTATTATAGACAAATTACTATAGTTTCACAACCTTAACATAACTAGAAATACCATACTAAATTTTTTCCAGGCTCAGAATTGATTTTGAAGCTTTTTATGAACTTTCCCATTTTCTCTTTAATCTTCTGTTTACAATATCAGAAGAATCGTTTCTTGTCCCACAATATTCTTTTGATCCCACAATTTCATCAACCTTTTTGAGATAATTTACTTAATTCCCATTCCGTTAATATAATCCTTACTATCCTTTCCCTTATCAGAGGTCTCGGTTTTTAAATATAAGATAAATTGTTTTTATTAATTAATTTTTGAACTAGTTTATTCATTAAATCAATATGAAATTCTTTATTATTTTATAGCTATGTTGTATACATTTTCGTTATCAAATGTTTTTAATTGGTAAAGTTTACCTTAAAAAACTATGCTATGTAAAAAAATTTCAGCTATGAACAGCGAATTTTTTTCTATCATACGCAACATTTATTCCAACTATATAAACATTAGTCAATCTTGCCATTAACTAAAGGTGGCGCTTATGATAAAATAAATTATTATTTTATCGTATAGAAATCATGGAATATTAGTTTTACATGATTCAATGATTTATGGTTTGTTCTAATATGTTAATAATAATTTTATTGGAATATTTTTTTAAGCTATTTATTAAATTTAACTGAAATTAATTAAGCCGAAAATTCTAATTTAGTATGTTTAAGTTAAAATCATAACATAAATGGGTATAATACAATTTATTATACCGATTCATGCTATAATACGTGTTATGTAATATTTATAGTTTAAATATTAAATAAATACAATTATAAAGCTTATATACTCTAACTTATAATCTGACTTATCGTATTTTTTTAGTCATTAATGAGTTAAAAGAACTAAGAGAAAATAATATTTATTAGTAATACATTCCTAACACAGCTGATTTTAATATTACATTTTTGGCTGGTCAAACACTTTATACGAGTGTAAATAAAAATTACACTATATTTATTGATTTATACATATATTATAATATACATTATAGTAATTAAATTAAGTACGGGAATTGATGTTGAATAATTTAATATTGTAATTTGTATGGAAAAATTATAAAATATTTGTATATTTCATTACTTCTATAGCAAACTTCTATAAAAATTAAAGAGCTTGTAGCACAACTTTTCATAAAAAAAAAAAAATTGTATTACTTCTGAATGAATACACTAAATACAATAATATGTAATCAAAAAATGTGTAATATTATAGGCTTGTAATAAAACAAAAAATAAATAAAAAATATCAAAGTAAAATTATTTAACATTGTAAATGTAACTCATTATCATGTCATATCTAATTCGAATAATTATACTTTAAAAATTATATAGTTTAATTGTGTATATGGAAAAACTTGGTTATGCAACTTTTTATTTAATAACGGGGATACAAGTTGAAATCTTTTGACATATTGATGAAAAGAATTGGCACATATAGTAAGCCAAAAATAAGATTTTAGTATGGAATAAAAGAGTAAAATTGTGTTGAGTGTTTTAATTAATTAATTTGGATTTTTGAGCACTTGAATAAATTTAATTATCTTACTTTCGGCTACTATAATTAAATTTGTTTAATTTTATTGGGGTCGTGGAGTCCGAGGGTTTAGAAAATGACAATACAATCAAATAAAAGGGTTATGATGAGTATTGAAATTTAATATAAGTTATAAATTTGTAAAAATTGGTAAATCATTTGAATAGTCTTACGTTTCAAGGGCACGAGCTTAGGTCGGCAAACTATGAAACGTAGTAAGAAAATGCGTAGGTACAATCTTAGGTCAAGCACTTCGAACGCATTTAATAATTCTCCTGACAAACCAGTTAATGTATTTGAATGATAAAGGATAGGTTAATTATTATTGTTTCATCATTCACTTCTGGGATTAAATAATTCCAAATTATCGGGAAGACAATGTATCACCTACTTTATGGTATTTTCTTTGGAGTTGAAATGAACAAAACTGACAAGTTTTCTTTTGAATATTTTTGAGACTAGTGGTCAATTGCTACATTTGAGTGTTGACTTGAAAGGTGGAATGAGAGAGAATTGTATAGCTTTTACGGCTTTTTATATGAAATCTATGATCTTTATATGTCATCAAAATGTAAGAATTGACCTCCAAGGACTTTTGTCTTTATTGATATAAAAATTATATGCAGGGATAATATGTTACATTGGTTATGGTACATTTGATTTTTCTTAGGGATACTGTTACTTAATATATTTGTAAGTTAATGTACAGTGTTTACTTTTATGGTACGGATATTAATATTAAACTGAACAAGTACATACATTATATTAATTACATCAGTGATTATACTATGATATTAATTTAAGACAATTGTTTTATATTGTGATTCACATTGCGAATAGTATTAAATTCGAACGATGAACGGTATCACAACACTCAATGATAGCTGAGAGACATGAATGACAGATACAAAAAAAACACACATTATTGTAAAATTAAAACCTTCTCATCTTTGCATCGAAATTAAATTTAAAAAAGAAATTATTTTACAGTGTAATTTATAAAAAAACAATAAAAAATTCTTAATATTTAACCACTGCTGTTTGAAGGTGATGAATACTGTGAAACTTCGGATGCAGAGAAGGCAACAAAACACCGTAACATTTAACAAAACGATAAACAACTCAAATTTAACAATGTGGTGACAAGGCAATACTTGACCCAAACACTTGGCATCGATATGACCGAAACGACTGAATAACTGAACGCGAAATGAATTAGTCTTCAATGCCACACGTTGCAGGGACCGGTCAAAAAGAAAAACAACGTCACCGTACCATTACGAAGGTGGGGATTTAGTGGAAAAAACACATTGAAGGTCGCGGTGTATAGTGAACGAAATCTCCGGTCTACTAAACGGCTGCAGAATAAAAAAACTTATTACAGGTGTCAGCGGCATACCTGTCGTGACAAACACAAACGTGTATGATTATGATTTTTTGTACAAATACTACATAAAAAAACGAAGAAAAGACAGTTTTACTTGTTCAATACACAGACAACCTCAATAGCTAAGTTGGAAGCAAATATTTCAAAACAAACATTGAGAATTTGTGTGATNCTGCAGAATAAAAAAACTTATTACAGGTGTCAGCGGCATACCTGTCGTGACAAACACAAACGTGTATGTTATAACTCACTGACTTATCCGTTCTGAATACTGTGTTTTCGTATTTACTTTTATATATATGCGTCACCCTATATCAATGTGTACCTAACAGATAAATTTGTTTATATTTAAATAGTTAGAAAAAATATTTTTAAAACGAAAACTTTTATAAAATTAAGTTAAACGAGTATTGGCGTAGTACTTGCCATGATAAACCCTTAGGATTTCAAATACAGTTTGGACAACCTGAGTAAGTCAATAATTATGATTTTTTGTACAAATACTACATAAAAAAACGAAGAAAAGACATTTTTACTTGTTCAATACACAGACAACCTCAATAGCTAAGTTGGAAGCAAATATTTCAAAACAAACATTGAGAATTTGTGTGATAATTTGCACAAATTCGCGCCTATAGTTTGCCGTATGACCTTGCCGAAATGTTTCATAAATTTTCACGGACTAAAAAATTTTTTTCGATGTTTTACATAACTAATTCTAATATATTACGCATTAAATTTACAAAAAAAAGTATTTTTTCTTTTGTCAACCATAGTTATTTAAGAATAAATAACTCTTTTAGGTTTGATACGAGGCTGAGAAGGTATTAATTTACTATGATGTGTTTTTTTTTTTGTTGTGTCTATTACCACTTCTTCTTAGCTCTCATTAGGCCGATTTTAAGGAAAAATATATCAAAAGGTCACAAATCGTATCTAGTCAAAAAAATTACAATCAAAAATGGAAAAAATTTTCCTTGTTTTTCGTAAATGGGGGAACCCCAAAAAAATTACAAATTTAAATTCGGTAATTTTCGACATTTTTTCAATTTTTTTTACTTAAAACTGCCATAACTTTTTCAAAAATGTATGAATCAAAACAATGTTTATTATAGATACGTTAAGTGTTTGCCTATCATTTGGTATATATTTGTTAATAACCTGACCCTTTACCTACCCACAAGAAAGGTTTCAAAATGAAAACTTTTCTACAAAAAATTAACTTTTT